TTTTTTTTTTTTTTTTTTTTTTTTTTTTTTTTTTTGGGTGGGGGCTTTCTGCACATACCTACCCAGAGGAGCCCAAATCTGGGCTCCTTTCTGTTCTCGAGTGGTTGGCTCTCAAGGGGAGGGAAGCAGGGTATAAATTGGTTTTTAAGAAGCTAAAGGGGTTTAAAGGGGGTTGCCTTAAGTGTCATTCTGTTGTTTTCTCTTTTATCTGCAATTCCATGAAGAATTCTGATGTGACCCTCAGCCAAAAGTTGTTTGCATTGCAATTCTACACAACAATTTCATGAACAATTTTTTTCTGGGATTTTTTATTTTTTTTTGCACTGGGGCTGTCCGGACCCCTGCCCTGGGTGTCATGCCTGGCTGGACACCCAAGCGTGTATCCAGGCACAAGTTGGGTGCCTGGGCGCCCGTACAAACAGCCTAGCGAGGAACCCGGTTGCCTTTTTCTTTTGTTTTTATGATAAGGGCGCTGCACAAGTCCTAGACCGGGTGTTTATATCTACTTTTCATCAGGATTCGAACTCAGGTCTGCTTATCAACGGTTAATGGGCGCACCATTCACGCACAGGGGCTAGGTGGAGTTGCTTTTTACCATTGGGCGTTCTTATAGAAGTCCAAGGGTCTGACTTCAGCTGTGCCGCCCGCGGATTAAGCCGCTGTCTAGTTCAGGGGCCCAAGGCCTATTATCTCAAGTTGCTTCTCATTGCTGGGCAATGACCCTTGGATTTCTGTTTGAAGTCCAAATGCCGAGGACCCCTGGACTATGCTGATGTCTAGGTTCAGGGATCCACTCCTCATGTGATGACTTGAATCAACTGATGATGAAGGGCCAGAGAAATGAACAGGAGGAGGAAAGGAGGGGAACAGCAGCCATCAACTGTCACAAGTATTGTGAGATCATACTACACAGAGCACAATAACTCCAGTAAGTTCATAAAAAAGTAAATAAAACATGTACACAATACTCTACCGCATTTCGCTGTGGGCGTACTCCACAGACTCTTCAGGTGGGTTTGGCTATGGGGTCTGCTGTCTGGTGTGACCCTGCCATGGGGGTGGTAAAGTACTTTCATTGGAAAGATGGTGGATATCCTATGGCTACTCAGGTCTTTATATCTTTCTCTTGAGCCAGTTATGCCATACATCTGGCAGCCAGTTATGCCATACATCTGGCGGCCAGTTATGCCATATATCGCACAGTGATCTTAGGGCTTAGGGCTGATTTTGTCACGGATATTAGGGTTTTGCGGACCGGTGAGCCACAGGACCACCAACCTTTTGTGAGGGACGCCAGACCCTTTTCCTGGCTATTGTAAAATATATTTTTCTTTCGGACAAAGAAGTTGTTTGATTTGCAGTTCTGTGTAACATATTCTTCTGAGTTTTTTTTTTTTTTTTTGTGCTGGGTCTGTCTAGGACCTTGACCGGGACTTTGTCCGGACCTGGCCCAGCCATCAACTGGGGCAGTCAGAGGCTGGGCGGCCCACCTGGTAGCCCAGATTCAGTACTTAAACCACCAGTACTTCCTAAAGTCGCGTAGCGTTAACGCTACGCAATTTTAGGAAACGTACAGGCCACTACAGGAGCGCCCAAATTCATCCAACTAGAAACGTTTCTACTCTATTTTTTTCCGTGGCCTATAGCTGGCCCAAGTACTGGTGGTTTAATTATACCAATAACCCGAGCAACGAGCTAATGACGGCTAACGGCCTCACTCCACTGCTCACATTGGACATGTATCTCGAATCTAATATGGACCAGGGACATTCCTTTTTTTTTTTTTTTTTTTAAAGAAAACTCAGCCCCGGCCAGTGCTAGTGTCGCTGGTACGAGCAGACAGCACTAGCACCCCGGGGGAGACTCCATCTATTGGTGGGGAGCAGCACCTGCTGGAAAGCGGGTCCAGCGTCCCATATGCACAGATTATAGACAGAGCCAGTTGGGARTGTGGATATGAAGCCTGCCAGCATTGATTACCCTGTCCCCCAGGGGATTGACTGAGCAGGTATTGGGTGAACGTGATTGTCACGAGGGATCTGCCTCTTCAGCTCTTAGCCTGGCCGCCGGATACAATCGATATACCCAGCAGACCCCTCTCCTTCCTTTCCCCGTGTTCCCCATCACTGCCATGTGCTCTCATCCTCCATACCAGCCCAATTCTACTAGACTATTTGCCAGAGGGGGAAAAAGATCCGGGAAGTCATCTGTCGTTCTCATTGGAATTGCAGGATCCACCTTGGCCCACTCGTGAAAGGTCAGCCGATACTCCTCAGGTCGCGCTTCCTTTCCCTGAACTCTCCCCACCGCCCCTTTTGTTCCCACCCGTTCCACCGTCCCTATCCTTCCCCCGTTTTTCCCCCCAAGCCAGTTTGCACTGAATTCTTGGATTCTTTGTTGTATTTCCTTCTGTGTGTGTATGTGACGAATCTGTGCCTTGGTCTCTTCCCAGTGTGTTGTTATGTCTGTTTGTATTTGCTGTTTTATCATTTCTGTGAACTCCGGTCCGTCCAGTCTCACTCCTTCCATCTCATACGTGCAGCGTCGTCTCCATAGTGCCCAAATCACGACCCTTCGTCCCAGCTTGAAGATATTTTGAGTGAAAACGTCCGCCTGCTCCTCAGTCCATGTTTCTAACAGGACTGCTCTCCAGTTCCAGGGCCAGGCCGTTGTTGTTTCCAGCTGATTCCAGATCCTGTCCCACCATCGCCAGAGCCAGATTGCCCCTGGGCACTGCAAAAAGATATGCTCTGTTGTTTCTGATCTTTTCCTGGAGGGGAAGGAGCTGGTGCATAACTTGCACCACGGGAGTTTTATCAATTTTGTTTTTCAAAGTGGTATATTGAAGTTTTATATAATTTCTTGTTTGTAAATTTACATGATACATGATTCATAGCATTTATTATACTTTTGATTTGAAAAATGCTCAAGAAAATTTTCAGTTCCGTCTCTTCGAGGGTCGTCCGGTCTATCAACCAGTCATTGGTTGGTAGGCAGCGGTGTTCCATCTGCCACTGGAGGGAGGCCAGTTTTGCAGGTTTCGATTTGGCCAGATGGAACCATTTAACTCCCCGCAGGGACATTCTGACCAGTCCAATTTGGAATGTATGAGGCCCAGAGCAGGTCCAGATGTATTTTGAATGTTGATCAGTGGAGCTACGGCCTAGGTGAGAAATTTTGGTGGCTGAATGAAGGTTGATGCCCTTTTTCTAGACAAGCTGCAAGGTGCTTCTGAGCTTGAACAGGAAGGGTGGGAATGAGTAGTGGGTCTTCTTGTTTTTTTCCTTTTTTTTTGGAAAATGCCAGCAGCCGCTAGTAGGGGAGGTGATATGAGAAACCCCCACTAGTAGGCGCTTCTGGTTGCTCCATCTATCGGCGGGGAGCTGCACCTGCTGGGAATCGGGCCCAGCGTCCCTTTACAAAGATTGTCTTAGAAAAAGACTGCAATTTGATGAGATTGCGAGGCCCTAAGCCTCGTCAAGCCCTACCGGGTCCCTGTTTCCAGCATGCATGGTCGCCCTAAGTGAAGGCGGGCCTGCCAAGTGACGAGAGGCCTGTT